TTTCTCTCTCTCTCTTTTTTTTTTGTTTTTGGTTTATTTTTGAGAGAGAGCAAGCAAGCAGGGGAGGGGCAGAGAGAGAGGGAGACAGAATCCCAGGCAGGCTCCACGCTGTCAGTACAGAGCCCGATGTGGGGCTCGAACTCACGAACCGTGAGAGCACGACCTGAGCCAAAACCAAGATTCCGACGCTTAACCGACCGAGCCACCCGGGAGCCACCCCGTATCACTCTTAATGCCACTTATGACTTTGGTGGCTGCTGTTCCTTTTCCCTGTGGGATAATGTTTAAAGCCCCCCTGTCTGCCCTTCCCAGCCCTTCAGAGTCCAGCCTGGTCCAGATTTTTCTGGCTCCCCCAGAGTCATACCGATCTCCTTCCACCTCAGCACGGGCACGAGCAGACGCACTGACGGCCGTGCGTGCCTCCACTTCTCTATGGGTCTGCGTGGGGAGGCTTGTCCCGGACCCTGCCCTCGTGCCCGGGAAGCCTCAGAGCAGACGTCCGCTCTGCTTCAAGGCCTCAAGTCCAGGCCAGTGCTCCCCCGTCCTCCTGGGAGGCTCTGCTCCTCCCGTGGGCGGCCCTCCGGGCCTTGAAGTGGGGGTGGGCTGAAGAGTCTCCGTGCCGAAAATCCATAAAAGATGGTCCGTCCGAGGGGGACACCGAAGACGGACTTCCTCCACGCCCTTAACCTTTCCTCCGAAACCGGTTTCTGCTTAACGTTTGTTTGCCTTTTCTTTCTCGCCAGAAACCTGTTTTGTTCCCCTAGAGAGATTCTGTTTGATGCACGAAGCACAGGACCTGGTGTGTGCCGAGTGCCCACAAAATGCTAACTTTTGCTTTTTCATAATAAGCTTGTTGTGTCTTTTTCCCTTTAGGGACATGAATTTTATAATCCCCAAAAGAAAAATTACATCTTCCTGCGTAACGCAGCCGAAGAACTAAAACCCAGGAATAAGAAGTAGCGGCCGGAGACTTCTGGGCCGTCGGGAGTCGTTCTCTCTCACTCTGCCTCGTCTTTGTACGAATTTGGGTCCCAGTTTTTGGTAGGTTGTCAGCCATGGATGTGGATTTCAACCCCTGGAGAAAACGATCATTGTTCAGCAGTCGGGAGCCCAGCCGGCCACGGCGACTGCCTGTCACAGGTCTGTGCTGTGGCCCTGAGGGGACTGAAGTCATTAGAGAAGTCAGCTTCCTGTGGGCGACTGCCAGGCATTTTTCAGCGCTTCGTTCAGCCACGTCTGTATTAGAGAACATTGGGGAACATTCTACGGACGCTGTACTGTATTTTGTAATAAAATATTTTGAAGATTGCCTCCTAAGCTCCCTTTGTCTCTCTCTCCCCTGGCCTGCCCCCTAAGCTCTCACATGGTTGTCCTGCCCAGCATGATCATGGGTTTTGATTTGTGATGTGAGACGCCGTTGGGGGAGCAGCAGTCTTGCTGAGGAGGGCGGGAATCCTGAGCCGTGCGCGGGGGGCCGGCCGCTGCTTCTCCAAGCACCGGCTTCTTTCGTTCCGTCTTCCACGTTCCCGGTGTCGTTTGGCTCTGCGGGCGGACGTCCTGGTGGCTGGGACGGGGCCTGTTCCGCGTGCAGACCCAAGCGGGTGATGTTTGTGTGGCCCTCAAGTTAGGAGCGAGCCCCCTGCATGAGACGTGCGCTGAACTCCCGCCCAGTAACTGTTTTCAGGCGTGGCTTTTTAATTTTTATTTTATTTATTTCTCGTACTTGAAAATTCTTGGTTGGTAAGTATCTGAAATGAAATTCAACTTCGACATTTGACCTTTGAGTCCGTTGTTGTGTTCCTACCCTGCGATCCCAAATGCATCTTACGCTTTACTGTCTGGGACTGGGATGTAAACTGGCTTGCTGAGTTTGGAAATCTGGCTTTCATGATATTGTAAGACTTGTTTGCCTACTCGTAAAAAGCAATGAAAATAAAGTTTTTTACTGAAAGAGATCACCTGCACTCAATGGTTTGAATTCTTTGGTAGTCAGATCCCAAGCAAATTCAGGCCCTTTAACTCTTCAGCTCTCTTTGCATTGAAAGATGTGTTTCTTGAGGGAGAAAGGCAGGTGCACGGGGGAAAAAGTCTGAATCTTCAAGTTAATCGTTTCCACCTCCCTTCTCTCCCTGCTGCACGAATCAGCCGTGCGGCTTTATGATCTGTGCCTGTGGGGGGGACACAGCAAGTAGCCCGCTCTGCCGAGTCCAGCTCGGTTATCTCGGTGGCTGACCCTCATGGCAGGTGGACAAGATTTATCAGTGTTCGTTTACCCGGAGTTTCTTCATTCTCTGTATGTCCGTGACTGGCGATGCTTGAAAAGGACCTCGAAACGGCCCGAGTCGTGAGCTTCGAAGAGCGTTCTTTTCCAAGACTGGGCCTTGTCACGTGACCAAGGGGCTAGGTAGTTTTAGTCACTGGCCAACTTAAAACGTGGTTATCAAGGTCCATTTACCGAAATTACTGTGGGGTGGCGGAACCAGGAGTGAGGGGGGCTCCCTGGCGCCCGCAGAGATGTGAACCCTGGCAGACGGGGCCGGGGCCCAGAACCTAGAGCCTTAAAGCGTGCTTGGGGTTCGCTGACGCACCAGGAAATAGTTATTGAATCACTGGACTTAAGATGCTTGCTTTCATGGGGCGCCTGGGTGGCGCAGTCGGTTAAGCGTCCGACTTCAGCCAGGTCACGATCTCTCGGTCCGTGAGTTCGAGCCCCGCGTCAGGCTCTGGGCTGATGGCTCGGAGCCTGGAGCCTGTTTCCGATTCTGTGTCTCCCTCTCTCTCTGCCCTTCCCCCGTTCATGCTCTGTCTCTCTCTGTCCCAAAAATAAATAAACGTTGGAAAAAAAATTAAAAAAAAAAAAAAAAAGATGCTTGCTTTCACGGTTCCTGAAAGGCACACGGAGTATTTGAGAAACTCCGCACCTTAGACGTCATCGCTGCAGGCGCCCGAGCTGTGCGTTGCATGCGGTAGGTATGCGGAAGAGATTTGCTGGCATCTTCTAGTCCAGAGAGCCACGCGTGTGATCGTGACTCTTCTAACCAGTGTCAGGCCGCTGCGCACACGCGGTTCGAACCAGAGGTCCCGGCTTCGTTGAGCGAGGAGAGAGTAGGCCTCGTGGAGAGGACCAGTCGTCTCGCTCACTTAACGTTTTCCGGCATTGGATCGTCACAAAGTCCCAAACGGAGGTGAGCGCGGACCTGCCACGTAGATTCCAAAGGTGGCACGTTGCTTTCACGTATGTTCCCCTCTGGTCTCGCTGGGCCTTTTCTCCTCTCTGCGTGTGACCCCGCGCTTGGCGGGAGCCGCGGACGCGGCCTGGTGGCGAGACCTTGCACGAGAGGGGCCGGGGGTCCGAGGTGGGGTCCTGCAGGCACAGGGTGGCCACACCCCTCCCTGCTCCTGCTGCGGTTGGTCTGACGCCGCGTCCTGGGGGCACAGACGCCGGGAGCGGCCTGCAAAACGTGGCCTGCTTTGTGTCCTGCGTCCGGGAGCCTCCTCAGAGCCCCCTGCAGCCAAGGGGGTCTCCTGACCCCTGCCTGCCCAGCCCGTGTTCGGGGTGGCTTCGTCTGTCATGCACCTGGACGAGCGGACGCCGTGGGTGGGATTCGGTAGGTCAAGGTGAGCCCCCTGCTTACACATCGCGTCTCGGCTGCTCTTGTGGAGCAGGGGGGTTCTGCCAAGCGAGAAGCTCCTCGAGTGCCTGGTCGTGTGGGAAGGGGTCGGTTGTCACGCAGTGTCCCAGGCGCATGCTGCTCTGGTCACCGCTTTCACTGTTGTTCACTTCTTTCAGTTGATCCGCTTTTGAAAAACATGGTTGCCTTGCAAAAAAATTAGCCACCGCCATCAATTTCAAGAAAGAAAGGAAGTCTATGGAAAACGATTCTCTTTTGCCCGAGGTAACCATAAAAATTAACACAATGAAAATAAAGCAGTAAAAACGAGCCATGAAATAATACGACAGAAGGTAAAACGTACCACGTAAAGCCATCTTCAAGGGACGATGTACTGCTCTGGAAAATTCTCTCAAGGGGACGTTATTCCGTATGTTCTAGGCTGTTTGGTAGGAGCTCTGCCATTTTTGGAGTGACCTGGGAAACCATTTTTTTTTCATTCAACCCAAATTTGATTTTGTTTAAACATTTATTTATTTTTGAGGGACTGCGCACAAGCAGGGACGGGGCAGAGAGAGCAAGAGGGAGAGGGAGACCCAGAACCGGAAGCAGGCTCCAGACTCCGAGCCTTCAGCACGGAGCCCGACGCGGGGCTCGAACCCACGAACCGGGAGATCGTGACCTGAGCTGAAGTCGGACGCTGAACCGACTGAGCTACCCAGCGCCCCCGGAGTTTGGTTTTCCTTTGAAGAAGGGGGTTCTGTGAGAAATGAGCCAAACACATTAGGGAACGTGTGAGCCAGCGTTTTCCAAATTAAACATCCATTCGTAGGTTGTGAAGTGACTGGAGTTGTTGCTACTGGTGTTTTTGTAGCGGAGCCGTATTAAAATATATTTTCTTTCTAAAAAAATTTTTTTAATGTTTATGTTTATTTTTGAGACAGAGAAAGACAGAGCATGAACGGGGGAGGGGCAGAGAGAGAGGGAGACACAGAATCGGAAGCAGGCTCCAGGCTCTGAGCCATCAGCCCAGAGCCCGACGCGGGGCTCGAACTCCCGGACCGCGAGATCGTGACCTGAGCCGAAGTCGGACGCTCAACCGACTGAGCCACCCAGGCGCCCCAAAATATATTTATTTTCTATTTTCCGCTACGTCGTTCGCAGTAACGGTCAGTATCGTTCGGCGTAACTTGTGCTACCGTCACACGTGTGTGCGCGTGTCTACGCATATGCACGTTCTGTACGTTCGTTCATCGTATCCCGGGCTGGGGTTTTTCTCCCTGCTACGTCTTACACGGTTTAGGACGAGTTCTTGAGGTTCAGTAACTTCAAGCAGTACCCGCCATGAGTACCTGCCGTAATGGTTTCCTTGCATTTTGCCCCCAAAACGGGAGAGAGGGACTGTCGACTAAAATGTGACATTTGAAGTGTCCACACAGCGTTGTACGTAGTGAGGAACGTGGGCTGCCCAGCGACGAATCCCAGCGCTGGCGCCCCGAGCGTGTCATCTCTACTTCTCTGAGCCCCGGTGACCGCATCTGCGGAGCGGGAGACGTTAAAAGCAGCGCTCGCAGAAGACCGGCGTTGAGGATTCAGAGTTAAGGCCCACGGCACGTGCTCAGACTCTTGCTGCCACCGCTGGAACTTCCAGGTGGGATGACATCCGTGGGAAGCTTCCCTTTACCCCCCCGGGGGGCCCTACAGGGACGGAAGTCACACGCTGGGCGGTCTTGGGATCTCCGGTGCGTGTTTCAAAGCGGCCGGCAGATGGCGCCAGCGACTCCGGCGCCTGTGTTGGGGGCGGGAGGGCGGTTCTGTGTTCTCCTTGCACTTGTTCCGGGAAACGAGGGTTGGCTCCCCACTTGGTGGTGTCGTTAAGCTTGTCAGTGGGGTTGAAGGAGTATTTACCCCGTTAGAAAAATATTCTTTAAAACTATACACTTTATCTTTACCGAGAGTGATGGCCTCCTTAGGAAATACTGGAGTCAATGTTTTTTTCAGAGGTCCGATTCCTGACTTCCCTACTTTAAAATTCAATGCCTCCCCCCCCC